TTTTTTACAGTTCTATCCCGTTTGGGGTTTCAACGTATAAAGTACCACGTGCCACCGGTTAAATGGAGGGTGGGCGCGGGGTTCAAAGTCTAGAACGGGCTGAACTCACCCGACCCAACACAAGAGGACGTCAAAAGACACCTGACGAAGTTCGTTCATGGCCCTCAAGCAATTACCTATACACGACCCGAGTTTCGCTGTGATTGAAGGTGTGAACGCCACTGTGAAGGTCAGCGAGGCTGAAGCCGAACGCGTCGACTCGGGCTCTCGAGGCCTACGTCTCTAAGCTGGGCAACGATACTGTGTGCCTACCCGACGAACTGCGCTCGTTCGTCTCATTCTAAGCTCATCACAGATAGGATGCAGACGAAGGACAGCCTCATTAAACACAGATAGACTTGCACAGTGTGCACCGTTGCAACGAAAATATAAGCAGCATTAGTTTTTATCTTGTTGGAATTTTTGTAGTGCATTCGTCAGCAAACCGGCCGTCTTCGTGGGGATTTTTCACGTTGGAAGTTCTAATGCCATGGAAAAGACTGAAGCACATCTTAACACAGCCTCTCCAACAGCGCAACCGACGTTGTCACGGTAAATTACCGTCGGTAATGCAACAACATAAAGTCTGGTGCAAGTCTTCAGCATGTCGGCAGCGAGCCCCTTAGAGAATTTTACGGTACTCTGTACTAAACTGGAAGCGAAATGAATGGGTTAAGGCTGTCGTCACTACATTGTATCACATTTGTCGATTCGGAGCTGGTGAAGTGTACGTGTACTTCAAGTGACAGTGAATAATCATTACTTGCAGCACAAAGTGACACGTTCATCTTAATAAACCTGGGCAAAGGTTATCTAGAGCCGCCCTGTTTCGAACATAATATTTTTGTAAGGAGCTTAAAGCAAAAAATTCTCTCAGCTTTGAATAGTCGGAATGGCTCGAACAGCAAACCTGTCATAACGGATCATTCCTGATTTGTAGCCATCGCGATCTTCTGTCGAACAAAACTCAGTTTATTTGATTGGCAAAGTTTCACTATCCAGGAACCTCCACAATGATGTTGCATCGACTGCTTCCTGTTGTCTTGGCCTCGCTACCTCTCACGTCAGCATGGCTCGCTCCCATCGTTTCCAAAGGTAACAAGCTCTTCGACTCGGACTGGTCTCGAATTTCGCAGCAAAGGGATGGCCTACTACCCCCGACCCAACAGTGGCGAAATGGCAGACGTCGCTAGCTACGACTGGGCTGCTGACGAGCACGAAGACGTGTGGAAACCTCATCTCGAGGTCATGCAAGACCTCGGAGTGAACACGATTCGTCTGTACTCGGTCGACCCCAGTGTGTCACACGACAAGTTCATGTGCGCGTGTTCACAAGCAGGAATCTACGTGTCTGTGGGCATGGCTGCGCCTTGTGTAGGGTGCTCTGTGGCCGATGTGGCCGCCCCCAAATGCTACCCGGACGACATGTTCACCCGCATGCAAATGGTGTACAACGCCTTCGCAGTGTATGTCGGAACTCACAAAAGATCTACATGAGACCAAGAGATGCTGAGGAGTCACGCACGCGGATGAGATGGTGAAGATCTCGTCATTCATGAGAAGGTGAGCGTCAGCAGAGAAGGTGAACAGGATGAGCAGTTAGGAAACCTCTCGAAGGAGAGAATGCATTTTACATAACAACTAAATTCAATCAGTCTTCAATCTACCACGCCGATCACAAGCGACCAACAGGTTATGAGCCCAACGGGTTCCGACGGCACCTCACAACAACAAAACCCGCGCGATGTCCAAGAGACTGATGTCCACGGGCTGAACGTGGCAGCAGACCCGTTTGAGTTGTTCGAGGGGACGCACTCTGAGTCAGGTGCGTCCGATGCTCCAGGAAGGGGAAGCCGGAACTCTAGCGCAAGTTCTGAGCGGCTAGATAAGCTTGAAGGTCTCATTGAAGGCATGGCCAAACAACAGGCCAAGTTTATGGCTGACCAAGCGGAGCTTCAAAAGCAGCTGCAGCACCGCACGGACACGCCATCCTTCGAACACAAGTACGGAGAGTCGAGCGCGTTTACTGATTTCATCAAGGCTCGAGCACGGCGGATGAGAGTAGGATCTCTCGATGCGTCGATGAGGACGCCGACGCAGACGACGCCAGCTCCAGAGATGCCGACGCCACCGACGGAGAACGCGACGAGTATGCAACAGCGGATGGCCGCACCATGGCAGAGCAGTTTGTGCCGCCACCAAACTTAGGACTCAGGTGCCGAAAACACGCGACTGGATGGCCGGTCTTGCGGCGAATTTCGCGGGCAAGGAGGTGTATTCTGGACTGGTTGCGATATTACAGAACTGGGGAATGGCGATTCTTGACAGGACGGGTTGCCATTTCAACAGATGAGGCGTGGTGGATGTTCGGGGAAATTCCACCTCCCTTTCCCTTGAACCGCCCAGAGGGAGAGGTTTTCCCCGGGGTTTTTTTTGGGGAGGGGGAGAGGGATGCTTGCACTCTGGACGGCGGAGTCGCCGACACTGGAACATGTGATGAATAGAATGTTAGTACCGTACATGACGACGATCACTGCATCCAAGGGATTGCAGTTGATGACGGCAGAGAAACTGCGCGAAAGGACGTGGGCGGAGCACTTTCAGTACTTGACGTACGTAGCTGAAAGGTCGGGGTGTTCGGATCTACACGTGATACAGTGTTTGTGTAAGTCCGCACCGGGTTACTTGCAGAGTGCCATGCTCACAAGGCTGAGCTCACATCGCATGGATCACTTGCAGCAAGCTACGGAGTTAGTGGCTTTTGCGATTG